TTCATTCCTTTATTTTGTTACAACTTTCGATTGCGGTATTGATTTCCAAATTCTCAACCTTATTTTAGTCACTTCTTGTAAGGTAATTTTAGTCCCATTTTCAAATCCTAGGGATTATTTCACTACTTATTTTCATTCTAGCAATAGTTTCGAAATTTCATAGAGCGAATCTAGTATTCATTGTACCTTTAGTGGTTAAATATTACTTTTAAATTATTGTATACATTCCAATTTTATCTGGAGTAAAACCAGACATTTACATTCTATTATCCATTCTACTTTCTGTTGATCTTAATCATTTTACTTTTACGGGTTTAAATTTCATTATTACCTTCCAGTATTCTTCGACGTGTATAGCTGCTCTATATGGTATTATTTTATATCTTTTTTTTTTACAATCTTTGTTATTAAGGTATTAATACTGTGTGGTGTGGTCAGGATTGGGCTTAAAGCGGTTTTATTTTTATATTTGTTTTATAAAGATTTTAGGACAGTAAAAATGTGTGTATAATGGCAATCAAAATTATGCAAGGATACAACTATCAAATTAAAAATATTTAATTTCTGATAGTAGTAATTATATTTTAATATCACAGTACCATTATTCCAATATCTTACCAAAAAACTATACAACGACTAATACAAAATGTAGACGTTATAGTATATGTTTTATTACACATGTATGTTTTTTTATTTCGTTAGATTGTAGGGTAGGGTAGGGACAGTTATGGAAAGAAACTCTGCCTTAACCTCATGCGACACTGAATCCCATTGTATTAACACGTCCCAGATTGTCTATGGGAGATAACTTGTAAAATACAGCTAAACATATAGAAATCGGGAGTTACTTCCTTAACCATTGTCTCAAAAATAGGAAGAACTCAGTTTAATTTGTATTTCTTAATAGTCCCTACCAGAAATTCAAACATAATGTTGTCACCTCTTTATTGAAATAAGTTTCACGTATATATTCATGTGTTTAACACATTAAAGAGATTCATTAACTCACTTATAAATATTTCCAGTTTCAACTCTTTAAACCAGTCAGTTTCGTTTGAAAAAAATTTTATTTCTACTTTTCAGTAATTCATAATTTGTGAATTAGACACTACCCAAGGGGTCGGCAACCTGCGGCTCGCGAGCCGCATGCGGCTCTTTTGATGTTAAGATGCGGCTCTCCAGCTCCTTGCACAAATATTAATAGTTATATTATTTCATTTTCAAAACTCATACCAAAAATTATACTGTAAAAAAACACAAGTTTAAACAGAAGAAAAAACTCATTGGAAAACAGTGAGAATTGGTGAAGTAGAAAGTATACGGACAGCCGCTTGGGCACCAGGCCCAGTCGCACAGCCGTACTGTGGACAGCCCCGTGGCGACCTTTCTATGCTTTCAACTACTAAAGTGCCGACTTTTTCGAATATCGGTAAATGGTGAATGTTATTTTATTTAGAATGCATTTCCTTATTCGTCCGTAAACACAAATTGTTTCAAATTGTTTAAAAGCTAAATTATCTGCCCCTAATAGCCGTCACATTGTAAACAGTGTTTCTTCCAGACTTTTTTCTCCGGGGGGGCACTTGAAATCTTCGGGGGGGCGGTAAACTTTCTTCGGGGGGGCGGACACTGTTAAAAGTATATATTTTCTATATAAATTATATAAATTTCATTTCGTTCGGGGGGGCGGTAAAAATTTTTCGCCCCCCCCCCCCCCCGAAGAGATGCCTGGAAGAAACTCTGATTGTAAACATTCGGGGTGAACCACAGCTCACCAAACTGGTGGGGTGGGGTGGTAGCGTTAAGCCTAGAGAGCGGTGTAGGAACGGCTAAGCCCTTACGTGTTGGTGTCTCGCATGGTCCCACGTAGAGAATCTATATATATAATTCTCTTCTGGGATCAGATAGAAAACAAGCTGCAAGGGCGCCTTTGCAGTCCCCTCTCTTCCTCTCTATCACTACCACCCCCACCCCACCCCCACATGATCTGGTGAGCGGTGTTCACTCTGTTTACATTTTACAATCACAAAGACGGGTTTGGTGACGGCTATTAGAGGCAGATAATTTAGTTTGAAACGATTTTAAACTTAAAGGAGGTAACTAAGAGGAGGCTGCTTTCACGTGGGGGGGGGGGGGGTGTTTTAAGCAAATATTTTCTATGGCAGCATCGGTACTGTCGAATTCACAAATTATAAATTACTGAAAAGTAGAAAAAAACAACTAAATAGCGGCGTATGATACGCAGCGGGTCGGCTCGTTATATAGATTGCTCGATGGTATGATTTCGGGTTATTATTTATGACATAAATTTGAAAGTATCGTTTGTTATAAAGGTATTATCACTCTGTGGTGTTGTTAGGATTGTGCGGTTTTACTTTTATAAATTTTTTTTATAAAGAATTTAGGAAAGTAACATGTGTGTATTAAGGCATTCAAAATGTTAAAATGTTACAGCTGAAAGCTATGTTATCTGTAAAGTGCTAGAGCTGTCAATATGTGACACTTCTCGGGGGGGGGGGGGGCATACACGTTTAAACCCAAACCACTCCTTTTACCTACTGCCGTATAAACCGCTGATTTCATCTTACATCAAACTTTATTACCTTTAGTAATTTGACATAAATATCAACAATACACAGTCAGTCAGATTATTAAAATTAATATGTAACAAAACAATGCGACTCTTAACTATGAAAAGATACACATCACATCCAAAAAACAAATTTTAGAGGAAAAAAAACCTAAAAACATGTTTTCAAAAATATTTATTATATATACACACACATAGATCATGACATCAACTGAAGAATTCAATCAACATAATGAAATAAGACATTAAGATATCATCATAAAAACATACGAATATAATGAAGTCTACGGTTTTTTTTTGCTGTTCGTTGACATAAATCGAATCATGTAACATAACTAAAAATATTAAAAACAAACACCAGAGATTTATGCTGTATTTAATTTCAAATAGATAACCTAAAATTTTGGTAATTATGGAATTTATACGACGTTTATTGTTTACCTAAAAATAGTTAACACGGTAGAATAGTTTTCTTAAATTAAACAGGACCCCCAGGCGTAAGATTTAAACTACAACTCTTCAAATTATTTTTTGTGATATTTACAATGTACATAAATTAATTATGATATTATTTTAACGTTAATGGAATGAAACCAATATAACATAATTTATATGTATACTACACGATTATATGAATCATTATCGCAGAGGCGTAGCGACCCTTCCCGGCGCCCGGGGACAAACTTTTCGATTTGCACCCCCCCCCCCCCACCTCAAACTTTCGATTTGCACCCCACTCAAGATTTCGATTTGCACCCCCCCCCCCTCAACCTTTCAATTTATTTTTCCAACCCATTTTGGCGCCCCTAAGGTCGGCGCCCAGGGACATATGTGTGTCCCCCCCCGCTCCGCCCCCCCCCCCCCCGCACTACGCTACTGCATTATCGCAAGGATACAATTGTCAAATGGAAATTCTTTAATTTCTATGATAGTTGTAATAATATAAGCCTACTTATATTACAGAATCATTATTCCTATATCGTAGCAAAACGAAGCGAATTACTGTAATCTTATAATCAATAATAATAATATCAAAGTATCAGTTATACTATTAACACAGTATAAATGAAACTTACATAATACATGTATGTTTAATTACAATATTAATGATGCACATGGTTTAAAGTAAATTATACTAAAAACTTAGCAGTATAATTAAAGTTTTATTCATAGTATCTACACATTTTTTTTACTCAAATTATAACTTAAATGAGACATTATGGTCATGTATGTCGTCAGTTACAGTAACATACAATCGTGTTGGTTACATAACATACGGAGTTAACATAAGATACATAGTCACACATCTTGTGATGTGGTATTTACATTGGCGAACAGTAAAATATGTACACATAGGTAACAGCCATATGACTTGAATGAGATTTTACGTTTTGAATTTACTATGCGATAGAATGATAGAAAGAGTAACAAAAAAAAACCAATAAGTATTGGGTTTAAATAAAAACATCGTAGTGGGATAGGGGTAAAAATCAGACAAAATAAGACACAGTAAGAAATGGTGGGATGAAAGAAGATGAAGATAAAAATGTATTTAAAAAATAAATCGAAAATGATAGATAGAAAAGCTTTAAGAAAAAAAAAACTCATTTTTTTTTATTAGGAAAAACAAAATTTGAAAACAGGATTCAATTGGTTTGGAAATAACAACAGATAAATGCTTATTTACAAACATACAGATGTATTTTATTTAACTAGATATTTCTAGATCAACACATTATAAATATAGACATTTAATTAGTCAAATTTCATTTTAGTTTACTTCCCTTAGTAATACCAGCTAATTTTATATATATTCAATATAATGTAATAAATGAGTTCGTACCTAAGTCCCTTTCAACATATAAACATGCTGTTTACATATACCAACGCTCAAATGTAGGACTGGAATAAAATCATCCATTCTTGCACCGGATATTCGTCACAGCAAGGTCTTATAATAATCTACATCAGTTCTATTTATAACTACAGCAGCAAGATATATCCGACGAAAGGGCGAGAGTTCGAAAACCAGCCAGAATGTGGGAGGCATTTCCTAGCAATCAAGATTCCAAAGCCTAAGGTAATTGACTCCGATATATGAATAAAATACATAATTATAATTTAACTCATTTTAACTCTTTCAAAACAACAAGAAAAGATGAAACGAAGATTGTGGTGGCACCAAAATGCCATTTACAAAGTTGACTAGATTCATATTTTTTAATTATTTTGTGTGTATATATATATATATATATATATATATATATATATATATATATATATATATATATATATATATATATTACGTATATTGTGTGCGCCTATCTGCGTTTACTAAAACCTATATAATGTTAAAAATTATGCTTTCTAAAACAGAAATGAAATAATACTGATGTGTTATAAAGTTTTTCGGTAAAAAAAAGTTCCAATTCACTTTATGATAATTAAAACCTAATACAGCGTAGTTTATAAATATTAGCATGCCCATTGTTTTAATTTCCTTTTAAAAGTGCTATAATATTATCACATCTTCTGAAAATGTATTATTTTCTACGAGGATAGGTACCTTATAATTATGTATACAAAATTTAAAACAAATTCAGGAACGGTAATTCACTCTTCTTGCTAGAGTAATTCCCCTTACAAGAAATAAATAATTTTATATTTATTTAAAACTGTTCACAAAAAAAGCCGAAGTTCACATATAAGTTATTTTAATTACAAGGGAATGGTTTGTCTTATATCAAGGGCGGCTACTCCGAGCTGAAGTATGAGCTCTGCATGGAGTAGAGTTTATCTATAGGGTTGATGACGCCCCCCAGCCCCGGGCCGACGACCCCGGGGTGCTGGTGACTTTCTGACATGAGCACGTGATCGAAGTGGTCCATCCCATCCTCCAGGCCCACGGGGGTGTCAGGGTACATGCTCTCACTGCCATCTTGGCCAGAAAACATGTGATCTGTGAAAATATTATGGGAAAATGTGATATGGAGGTATAAAAAAATGTGATGTGTGAAAATATAATGGGAAAATGTGATATAAAGAAAAACGTGATCTTAAAACACAATGGAAAAAAATGTGATGTGGAAGAATAAAGAAAACATATAATCTGAAAACACAATGGGAAAATATGTGGAGGTATAAAGAAAAACATGTGTTCTGAAAATATAATGGGAAAATGTGAAATAAAGAAAAACGTGATCTTAAAACACCATGGGAAAATGTGATGTGGAGGTATAAAGAAAAACATGTGTTCTGAAAATATAATGGGAAAATGTGAAATAAAGAAAAACGTGATCTTAAAACACCATGGGAAAATGTGATGTGGAGGTATAAAGAAAAACATGTGATCTGAAAATATAATGGGAAAATGTGATATGGAGGTATAAAGATAAAATGTGATCTGTGAAAATATAATGGGAAACTGTGATGTGGAGGTATAAAGAAAAACATGTGATCTGAAAATATAATGGGAAAATGTGATATTGGAGGTGTAAAGAATACATGTGATCTGAAAATATAATGGGAAAATGTGATGTGAAGGTATAAAGAAAACATGTGATCTGAAAATATAATGGGAAATTGTGATATTGGAGGTATAAAGAAAACATGTGATCTGAAAATATAATGGGAAATTGTGATTTGAAAGTTTTAAGAAAAACATGTAATCTGAAAAAACAATGGGGAAAATGTGATATGGAGGTATTGAGAAAAGCGTGTGATCTGAAAATATGATGGGAAAATGTGATCTAAAAGCATAAAGATAAAAATGTGATCTGAAACTACAGTGGTAAAATGTGATGTGGAGGTATAAAGAAAAACATGTGATCTGAAAATATAATGGGAAAATTTGATGTGGAAGAATAAAGAATAAAAATGTCATCTGAAAACACAATAGCAGGAAAACAATGCCCGAATAATTTCTATGCGTCTTTGAACATTTCATTACACATTTGTTCACTGAATGCCACAGTGCCCACACTTACACCCCCCCCCCCACACACACCCCACACATACATACAGGCTGTAGTGTAAGTTAATACGAAGGTGTAACTTACTGGAATGTGTGGAGAGGTCGTACGGCCGGAGACTGCCGGAGTACCTGCTGTCACTGGCACTGGATAGGTCTGGTGGAGGAGATGACGTAGAGGTTACCACATGGGTGTTTAGATAACAACAGGCTTATATGATGAAGACATGTAAATAAGTACCCTTATATAAATGTACATCAATGTTATATATATATATATATATATATATATATATATATATATATATATATATATATATATATATATATATATATATATACAAACATATATATATATATATATACATATATATACATATATATATATATATATATATATATATATATATATATATATATATATAGGGGCCCTACATGTATATATATATATATATACATGTAGGGCCCCTATATATATATATATATATATATATATATATATATATATATATATATATATATATATATATATATATATACAAACATATATATATATATATATATACATATATATACATATATATATATATACATATATATATACATATATATATATATATAGGGGCCCTACATGTATATATATATATATACATGAGTTTGATGATTTTAGATGTATGCATGTGCATGTGTAGAAGTCGATATCAATGAAGATGTTAAACCCACAGCCACAAACTCCCCCATACCACATCCTTCTACACGTTGCCAACACCCCCCATCCCACCCCTTGTTTTAAGTATTTCTTTCAGGCATCGCTTCTAGGGAGATATTGAACCCCCTCCACCCAACATGGACGAAGTAGAATAAATGTACCATCTACCCCCACCCCCTGCCCCCCTCCCTCACACCCAGACTTACATGTAGAATGTTCCGCAGACAACGGCTCATCGCTGCTGTTGTTATCCATATTACAATCGGACGAATCGCTGTCCTCCTCTGGTTTTTTCTTCTTCTGCGACTTGGCGGATTTCTTACTGCTGTTACTGTCACTGTTGTTGTTGTTGTTATTGCTGTTGTTGTTGTTGGTTTCAAGATTCTGTTTGCGGGCTATTTTCTTCACCTTTAAATTTTAAAAAAGAATACATTTCAATAACATACACATAGTTTATATATTTATATATATATATATATATATATATATATATATATATATATATATATATATATATATATTATTATTATCTGAATAGTTGGGCATACTATTAACCAAACTATCCATTCATATGCATAAGACAAAACAATTAAACTCTTCTTCGTCTGCCCAATGGACCGCCAGGGTTAGTTTACTTGGATTATCAATGAGTTGTCCTGAATTATCAACGGGTTACCTGGATTATCAACGGGTTACCTGGATTATCAACGGGTTACCTGGATTATCAACGGGTTACCTGGATTATCAACGGGTTACCTGGATTATCAACGGGTTACCTGGATTATCAACGGGTTACCTGGATTATCAACGGGTTACCTGGATTATCAACGAGTTGACCTGGATTATCAACGTGTTATCTAGATTACTCACCTTTGCTCGTTGATTCTGGAACCACACCTGCACGACACGGACACTTAAACCTGTCTCTGCTGCCAGAGATTCGCGCACCTGGAATAGGTAAGAAAATGTTGCGTAAATATTCAAAAACCTTAAGATGGTCTATGACTAAAACTTATACTAAAGAACGCTTTCTTTTTTTTTGTTTTTCGAAAAGACTACTCGGAAAAAGATTATTTGGCAGTAAATATGAAGCTCAATAGTTCTGCGCATGCACAGTGACCTTAATAGCTGCGCTAGGTTTAGAGTTAGGGATAAGGATAGGGATAAGATTAGGGTTAGGGTTCTGCGGTTTGTAAACACATGCATGCGCAATGCCATCGAATGAATGCGGTAGTTTCTCTCCATTGCACATGCGTATCTTTTTCTGGCTAGAATCGGCCTTTTTTACTTTCTCGTATCTACGTAGTATAGAGAAAGTATTGTAATCGTGCAAAAAAAAAATCGAGATTTTTACAAATCTCGACGTTTTACACCTCACTGATACGGAAAAACATAATTTTGCAATCTTGTCCGTATGTCTGTGTGTGTGTGTCTGTGTGTGTGTAAACACGATAACTTGAGTACCGTTACAGCTTATGATGAAATTTCATATATAAATATTTTATCAAAATCGTAGATCCGTATCAACTTTTGAGCGATTTCCGATAACCGGAAGTGGTACTTTTTCTACTTTAAATTTTTAAAAGCCTATAACTTGAGTACTATTTCAGATAGATAAATGAAATTTCACATGTAAGTAAAAAATCTAATTCTCTTCGTTCTTTCAAATTTTGAGTAATTTCCGTTGACGGGAAGTACTAATTTACGCTATTTCCGATTTCTCAAAACCGCATATAAATTTATAAAGTACTAATAATATTGCGCACCATTATGAACATCTTTATTCGGCGTTCGCTTGGTGTGCAATACTTTTTTCTATGAGATTCTATTTTATTTTAAAAAGTTTAAGTATTTAAAATGGATTAAAAATCATAACTATATCCCGAGTTCCCATCCCCTGTTGTTTTATATAAGAATATTCGAGAAAGTTTAGGGGAGATCACTCCCGGTTTATTGTTGTTGTTGTTGTTGTTTACTAATGACCTATACCTTTAGAAGCTTTTTACTATAAATGTTTCTATAAGAGTTTTATTTAAAATGTAACAAATCAACAACATATTGGTAATGCTGCTAATGTTATTATTTTATCAAAACGGGGATTTTTAAAAAAAATAGTTTTAAGTTCAAGAGAAATTGTGTCCCACCTTCCGACAGGGCTTAGGGTTGACCTCAAACGAGGCCTTGAACTTCCGTCTCTGGCTGGTGGTGAGGATGGTCCGGGGTCGCTTGGGTCCTTTACTATTGCCCAGGTCGCCGCCATCGCCGTCGTCATAGCAACAGTCGCTGAGATCACCTAGACAGACACAAGTAGGTATACATTTATAAATAAATAAATAAATAAATAAATAAATATATATATATATATATATATATATATATATATATATATATATATATATATATATATATATATTATTGTTTTGGTAGAAAAAAAATTTAGAATGTTAAACATAACTTGCTAAAAGTTTTTAGTAGCAGTTTAAAAATGCAACTCGACGAGGTTGTTCTTTTATAATACATATGCATTTCTCCCACCCCCCCCCCCCACCCTTCCCTTCCTCCTGCTCATTCCCCCCCCCCCCCCCCCCCCCTTCACACTTAAATAAATTATACTGGAACACCGCTATATTTCATTTTCAAAGACATAACAAATGGCTAAATCTTTCAAAATAGCGTTTTTTAATATCTTAAGCATTAATAGCTCTCAACTCAGCTAGGTACAGTGTTTTTTTTAAATAAAAATAAGAAATGTAATGTTTTGAAACAACTATCCTCTATCCACATTGACTTGTGTTAATGGATTATCAATAATGCAAATCACCGCACAAATCGATGCGAATGAAAAAAATAAATAAACAGAAAACAAAAATAATATAACAATGATAAAGCCCGCGTTTTTTTTTTCAAAATATCATTTGCTCCGTATGGGTTATATTCCTTGACAGATTTATCATCCCTCACACACACACACACGGACATACACACATACGTACACACCATACATCAACCCGGCACCGGCCAAGTCACATCAAACGTTTAAGTCAGACCCTAGTTGACTTAAGTCAACTTAGGCTCGATCACACAATGTAAACACGTTTTAGAGGTTTTTAAACTCAGGGAAAATTTACGAGCAGTGGAGGGAGAGTGGGTGGTTGTAAGTAGAGGAAGTAGAGAGGGGTTGGCTAATGGGGGTTGGCTAGTTGGGGTTGGCTAGTGGGGGTTGGCTTCTATGGGGTTGGCTAGTGGGGGTTGCCTAGTTGGGGTTGCCTAGTGGGGGTTGGCTAGTGGGGGTTGGCTTCTATGGGGTTGGCTAGTGGGGGTTGCCTAGTTGGGGTTGCCTAGTGGGGGTTGGCTAGTGGGGGTTGGCTTCTATGGGGTTGGCTAGTCGGGGTTGCCTAGTTGGGGTTGCCTAGTGGGGGTTGGCTAGTGGGGGTTGGCTTCTATGGGGTTGGCTAGTGGGGGTTGCCTAGTTGGGGTTGCCTAGTGGGGGTTGGCTAGTGGGGGTTGGCTTCTATGGGGTTGGCTAGTGGGGGTTGGCTAGTACGGGTTGGCTTTTGGGGGTTGGCTAGTATGGGTTGGCTTTTGGGGGTTGGTTAGTGGGGGTTGGCTAGTATGGGTTGGCTTTTGGGTGGTTGGCTATGGGGGGGTTGGCTATTTGGGGTTGGCTATTTGGGGTTGGCTATTTGGGGTTGGCTAGTGGGGGTTGGCTATTGGGGGTTGGCTAGTGGGGGTTGGCTAGTGGGGGTTGGCTAGTGGGGGTTGCCTACTTGGGGTTGCCTAGTGGGGGTTGCCTAGTGGAGGATTCATAGAAATGTTGAATAATAGAGGTTTACAATAGAGATTGAATTTCCAATTGATGAGTAGGAAAGATGGGATGCAGTTCAAGAAGAAATTGTAGACCTTCAAGAACATATAATTATAGACGAACAAGTAGTTCTCAAGAACATACAGTTCTTGACGTATATACACCCCAATTGACGGATTGTATTTTAACTACGAAAATGACATATTTCAGCCAAAACTTTGTGTGAAAACACCTAGTTTTCATTCAACAACTACAGAGATTTATACAGTGAATCTATACGCACGTATTCTATAATAGACTTGGAATATCCAACTTCTCTATATACATGGAAATAGACTTTCCTATTAAGATCTCAATGAAATTAACTTTACACTTTTTCAAAATTTGTTTTCATTTAATGATTGCTTAAATTAAATTAAGTTTTTAAAAAGTTAATTACCGAGAAATATATTTTTTTCTTTCTGTATTTTCTTCTTTTTTAATTCCTTTAACATGTTTTCTGATTTTTTAAATATTTTTTGTTATATTATAAACCCCATTTTTGTATATGTATAGTTTTTCTGTATTATAATGGATAAACCATTGCTTTTTTTGAGGATTTTTTTTTTTAAACTAAATATAAACCTATTTACTAAAATTATAAGGCTTTAATTAATAAAAGCAATTGATTAAAACCGCTTACTTTTCGGGCTCATGGGTAAGAACGTGAACTCCTTCTCGTAATCCAGACGACAGAAGAGTTGTCCGTCCCGCAGAACGAACTCATCCCCCTTCTGCAGCCTCTGCCCGCAGACGATACAGCAGAAGCAGGGCAGATGGTAGACGAAGCTTGATGCCCTCATGACCAGCTCGTTGGGGGGCACCGACTGGAGGCAGCCGTTGCATTTGGTGGCGTAGAACCTGTGTAGGTAGAGATGGTATCTTTTAGAGTAGAGGTTTACATTATGGAAGAGTGCAGGAGTTCTTATACGGTGTCAATAGGGCAGGTAAGTAGGTCACCAACCAGCTATATGGCTCATGCAGTGTTTATTGAGCCCTATAGAGATGGTTTCGTTTAGAGTACTTTAGAATAGTGTAGTGGTTCTTAACTTGTGTATGTAGAGATGGTATAATTTAGAGGTTTACATAATAGAATAGTGCAGGATTTCTTAACTTGTGTACATAGAGATGGGATCGTTTAAAGCAGTGGCGTAGTGAGGTCGGGTGTTACCCGGTGCGGCACTTAATTGTGTCACCCCCCAGAGGCGTAGCAACCCTTCTTGGGGACAAACTTTCAATTTACGATTTGCACCCCCCCCCCCCCCCCCTCAAACTTTCGATTTGCACCGCCCCCCCCCCCCCTTCAAACTTTCGATTTGCGCACCCCCCCCCCTCTCAAATTTTTCTATCTATATATTGCTATTTTTTGCCTTGGTGTCACCCCCCTAAATGGTGTAACCCGGTGCGATCCGCACCCCCCCCCCTCGCTACGCCTCTGGTTTAGAGGTTTACATAATAGAATAGTGTAGTGGTTCTTAAACTGTGTACATAGAGATGGCATCGTTTAGAGTAGAGATTTACGTAATTGAATAGCGCAGGGGTTCTTATAAATGCACATAGAGATGGGATCATTTAGAGGTTTACATGATAGAATAATGTAGTGGTTCTTAGCCTGTGTTCGATCGAACCCCAGGGGTTTGGCGAGTCTTATTTCTATAGTGTTCGGTGGATTACAAAGCACACACCTGACTCATATGATTCATGATATGATTTTTTCTGTGCGGACAATAGAACCATTAAGAAGGTTTCGGTGAAGGCGCATACGAAACTTGTGGGGTTCGGTATCTCAAAAGGTTAAGAACCACTGGGATAGCTCAAAGCATATGGTCAAATATAGAGGTCATTTAGAGTTAGTCTAGAATACAGTTTTTATAGAATAGTTTTGGGAATTTAAAACTTAGTATAAAGTGTTTCTTTCAGATATGGTCATACATAGAGGTCATTTAGAGTTAGTCTAGAATACAGTATTTAAAGAAAAGTTTTGGGAATTTAAAATATAGTATAAAGTGTTTCTTTCTGATATATAGGTCTGCCCTCTTTTGCCCTACTATATATAGGTCTGCCCTCTTTTGCCCTACTATATATAGGTCTGCCCTCTTTTGCCCTACTATATATAGGTCTGCCCTCCTGGTTGGTAGTGTGACACTTGATATTTCCATTAATTTAACCACTGACCGCCCCACTCCAACCCCCACCCCCACACACACTGAAAGTGTTAACCGTGGTTAAGGTTACACAAAGGTTTAGTTTACATCCTGGGCTTGGCTTAAGTTTAAGTTACGGGGTTGGGTCTATATATTAGACAGTGCTACAGGCAATGTTAGTCTGGTACCATATAACGGAAAAGAACAGCTAGATGCACAGTTCGTTCCTCTCATGGTGCAGGTCCTTGTATTGCCGGTGATTTACCCACTGGTGATAATAGCATTAATTACCTCCCCGTTCTTCTAAGGGCAATTACTCTTGACGACAAGACCATAAATCATGAGCAGACGGGAAAAAAACGATTGCTGGGGTAGGGACAGTAGTTCATGGAGTGTGGACGGGGAGGGTGGACGGGGAAGGTGGACGGGGAGGGTGGCTGGGGTAGGGACAGTAGTTCATGGAGGGTGGACGGGGAGGGTGGACGGGGAGGGTGGACGGGGAGAGTGGGAGGGTGGACGGGGAGGGTGGACGGGGAGGGTGGACGGGGAGGGTGGACGGGGAGGGTGGACGGGGAGGGTGGAAGGGTGGACGGAGAAGGTGGGAGGGTGGACGGAGAGGGTGGACGGGGAGGGTGGACGGGGAGGGTGGCTGGGGTAGGGACAGTAGTTCATGGAGGGTGGACGGGGAGGGTGGACGGGGAGAGTGGGAGGGTGGACGGGGAGGGTGGCTGGGGTAGGGACAGTAGTTCATGGAGGGTTGGACGGGGAGGGTGGGCGGGGAGCGTGGGAGGGTGGACGGGGAGGGTTGGAGGGTGGACGGGGAGGGTGGGAGGGTGGACGGGGAGGGTGGACGGGGAGGGTGGACGGGGAGGGTGGACGGGGAAGGTGGACGGGGAGAGTGGGAGGGTGGACGGGGAGGGTGGACGGGGAGGGTGGACGGGGAGGGTGGACGGGGAGGGTGGACGGGGAGGGTGGACGGGGAGGGTGGACGGGGAGGGTGGACGGGGAGGGTGGACGGGGAGGGTGGACGGGGAGAGTGGGAGGGTGGACGGGGAGGGTGGACGGGGAGGGTGGACGGGGAGGGTGGACGGGGAGGGTGGACGGGGAGGGTGGACGGGGAGGGTGGACGGGGAGAGTGGGAGGGTGGACGGGGAGGGTGGACGGGGAGGGTGGACGGGGAGGGTGGACGGGGAGGGTGGACGGGGAGGGTGGACGGGGAGGATGGACGGGGAGAGTGGGAGGGTGGACGGGGAGGGTGGACGGGGAGGGTGGACGGGGAGGGTGGACGGGGAGGGTGGACGGGGAGGGTGGACGGGGAGGGTGGACGGGGAGGGTGGACGGGGAGAGTGGGAGGGTGGACGGAGAGGGTGGACGGGGAGGGTGGACGGGGAGGATGGACGGGGAGAGTGGACGGGGAGGGTGGACGGGGAGGGTGGACGGGGAAGGTGGACGGGGAGAGTGGGAGGGTGGACGGGGAGGGTGGACGGGGAGGGTGGACGGGGAGGGTGGACGGGGAGGGTGGACGGGGAGGGTGGACGGGGAGGATGGACGGGGAGAGTGGGAGGGTGGACGGGGAGGGTGGACGGGGAGGGTGGACGGGGAGGGTGGACGGGGAGGGTGGACGGGGAGGGTGGACGGGGAGGGTGGACGGGGAGGGTGGACGGGGAGGGTGGACGGGGAGGGTGGACGGGGAAGGTGGACGGGGAGGGTGGACGGGGAGGGTGGACGGGGAGGGTGGACGGGGAGGGTGGACGGGGAGGGTGGACGGGGAAGGTGGACGGGGAGGGTGGACGGGGAGGATGGACGGGGAAGGTGGATGGGGAGGGTTGGAGGGTGGACGGGGAGGGTGGGAGGGTGGACGGGGAGGGTGGGAGGGTGGACGGGGAGGGTGGGAGGGTGGACGGGGAGGGTGGACGGGGAGGGTTGGAGGGTGGACGGGGAGGGTGGGAGGGTGGACGGGGAGGGTGGGAGGGTGGACGGGGAGGGTGGGAGGGTGGACGGGGAGGGTGGGAGGGTGGACGGGGAGGGTGGACGGGGAAGGTGGACGGTGAGGGTGGACGGGGAGGGTGGACGGTGAGGGTGGACGGGGAGGATGGACGGTGAAGGTGGATGGGGAGGGTGGACGGTGAGGGTGGACGGGGAGGATGGACGGTGAAGGTGGATGGGGAGGGTGGACGGGGAGGGTGGACGGATTGGCAGTTAAAACAATGTAAATTCACTTTTAGTATATATGCTCAAAAATATTTCAAGTTAGTTCCGGTTTGATTATATTCCTGGCATAGATCTTATTCTTAATGAAGATTAATTGTGTATGTGTAAAAAAAAAATATCAAGTAAAACTGAAGAATCTCTTTAGACCCTTTAGATCCATTGGGTAGATGAAGTAGAGTTCGGCATATGAAGAGATAGTGTGGTCAGCACTATGCCCATCTCGCTTACTTTCCAACGTGAGTTAGGTACCCATCAGAGTTGGGTGGACTCGGGGACATTCAACTGACTTGAACCCGACTGGAGACTTTCGGGTTAGAATGCTAAAGGAATTATGTGGGTACGGCTAATCGGTCAGCACCCAACATACAGTAGACCCTAACCCGAAATTTGTAAAAACGTTGGGAACAAAGTCACGTGGGGATCTCCACCAATCGGATAGTTCCAGCGTATGACGTAATCAGTGACGTCCACAGTTCCATTACGCCTACCATAAATTTTGGAAAGAAAATAAAACTTTCAATTACGGGCATCAAAAGACGCTCATAAATCACCAACGTGTCCATCATTGCAGATTAATTTACTTTAATTGCACGCGCTAATTATTTATACGGCCTACTACGTGAGTCCATATATCGCATGCAATAAAATAACGCTATATAAACATCGACTTCACTACGAAAGATTCCGAACATTGAATTATTGGTACCATGTTACGAAAAAAAAACAACAGACGTACATATTCACTGAAATAATCTACTTCTGACATTTAAAATTGAATTTAGCGAATTCAGTCAAATGTTTAGCTATTGTGTATGTTACATACCGGTATTCGTGAAGGCCATAGTCATCGAAACTTTATGGGATTAGATTAGTTGACGTAACCAAGAGACATACATAAACAGGGGTTATATCTATGGTATTCAGTAAAGTAAAGATTCCTCTATAGACCTAGCGGGCAGATGAAGTAGAGTTCATATGTTTCTTGACCTCGGCATATGAAGGGATAAAAAGAGGGATTATATTAGTGGACGTAATTAGCCAACAGCTGCACATAGATAGGGGTTATACTTATAACTATGGCATAAAGCGAAGTGAAGATTCCGTTTTAGCGATCTATTGTGCAGATGAAGTAGAGTTCATGTTTTTTTTTAACTCGGCAAATGAAGTGATAGTGTGGTCAGCACTATGCCCAGTCGCCGGGGCGTACTCAGGGATATTCCACTGACCTCAAAACCCGGATTTGAACTTACATGACGAGTGTTATGTATTGATGTACTTATTTAATACTAGCATTGATATTAGTTGAAGTAGTTTGTAGTTTATTGACCAATAATGTAATTACCTATTTACCACTTGTGTAGCAGCTAGCTACCTACATCTAACAAGGCTGCCGGCTACCTGCTGCCTTCATCGTATGTGGCTACTGGCTACATAGGTCTAACATGGGTGGCTTTTGGGTGGCTTTTGACTACCTACGAATTATTATTCCCAGAAAACTGCGCAAAC